TTTGGAAAGTTGTGGAACTGTCCAATCCTGTGGATATTTCATCCATGAAAAGTGCCTTTGCTGGTCCAACAAGCATCTCCCCTGTAAATTTTGATCAAAACAATTAAAATCATGATTGAGACAACTAAGAAAATTTGTTGTTCTGTTTTTCGTTTATTTTACCAGTTGTGACACGCTTTTTTTGTCCTCCAGAAATTCCTCTTATCATTTCATCTCCAACTAAAATATCTGCACAGACATCAAGCCCCAAAACCTGGAAAGAGAATTGAAAATAATTTTTGAAATTTGCTCCACTTTGTAATGTTATAGTTCAATAACAAAATATTTAAGTTTATTGTACCTTAAGATAATAGTCTGTGACCACATTAGCTTCATCTCCTTCTGTAGCTGCTGCCTACATAATCGGAAACAACAAAATGTTTGCCTCAAAAATTCCTTGATGGGATAAAATTTAATGTGCAGAACGTTGTCTGAAAACAGATTTGAGTGGTACAAATTTTTAACCAAAAATAAACAAGGAAGAAATTCTACAATTTAACTCATATTCTAAAAAACTACAAAACTCTGAATTTCTGAATTCGAGATTTTTACTAATTTTCCTCTTTAATTCCGTTTCCTTCACAACATGTAAGAGTTTAGAACCAAATAATGAAATATAAAGTGAGTTTCGTCATCTAAATGTTATTAAATTTGTGACATGAGCCACTGTGAAATACCAATGTAACCACAATTTCTTGATTTTTCAGTTTGAACAGAAATAACATGGCTATAATATTTTAAATATCAGAATCATTCTCATCAAGTCCATAAGAAATTCGAGGGTTTATTTTTACCTTCATGTATATATCGATATCAGGATCGGGCTTAATATTTGCTGCTTTCTCTCTTCTTGACAACTCTGCTAACATCTCTGTAAATATTTCAACATAAATAAAAAATAAGAATTCCGATTCCAGAAACTAACAAAAACTTGAAAAATAAACATAGAAATAATAATCCATTGTTCTTTGAACGAACCATATCGGGATCCAACTCCCTGGAATCTTGCAGAGAAAGCCATGGTTTCTCTAACCGTCATTTCTCCGATATGAAGATCGTGTTGGCTAATGTATGCTGCAGTTCTCTGGGGTACAAACTCTTCCATTCCTTGTCCATTATAGGTTACCCTCCCCGAAACCTGCCGCATAGATTTAGTTTCATTTATAAAAGTTGAATTGATTAAAAGAAAATTCATATCCATGTGGAAATGATCCCTTGTTTTTCATTTTTTTTTCCTTTTACCTTCAATGCAGGGTCAAGCTTTCCAGCCAAAGCCAACATAAGGGTTGTCTTCCCGGAACTCGGAGGGCCTAAAAGCAATGTCATTCTGTTTCCAAACAAGAAAATGAGAAGGAAAACCTGGTAAATATAAGGCCAAACACTAAAAAAACCGATATATATAGGATTTTTGAGTTCTTACCTGCAGGGCTTGATGATACCACTGGCATCCTTGAGGATCGGAAGAGTTCTCTTTTTGTTACTTCCTATATGGAGAGATTTCAAAATGCCCTTTAAGAGATCAAAAAATCACAAAGTTAGATTGAGACATCCTGAATTATAAACCAGAGATATCTATAAAACATCAAATATGGATTCATAGCCTAATGTTTGAGTAAATGTTTTACCTCTATCATATTAATATTGAAGTTAATAAATGTAGGCAAAGCCCTGCTTCCCACATAAGCTTCTGCTTCAATATTCAAATTCTCGAACCGGACTTCAATTGTTGGCAAATCAATTCCAACTCTGAAAATAATCAGAAATCAATAAATTTAATCTGCATTGTAGACTTCGATACAATAAACCCGAAACAGGGTCCAGGATCAATCATAATACTAACCTGTCAATTCTATTTCTGAGTTTTAACAAGAATTTCTCATTATCTTCATCCACAACATTTACCAGCCTATCAAGCAAATTCCTTTTATCTTGAAATCCAAGATTTTGAACATCAACTTCATTTGCAGCACCCTTTGATCCAAACAGAAGCCCTTTTCTCAAACGATCAAAGGTTGGAAGTTTTTCAAGTGCAGCCCATTTAAGAGCTTCTTCATCATCTTCGTCTCGTGAAGAACGTGAAAAAACTTCGATTCCAGTATTCCTCCATATTGATGAACCGTTTGCTCTTAAACTTCCCATATGTTTACTTCCTACTCTTAAGCTACTACTAGCTTTATAAAGATCCCCGGGTTCCATTTTAACCCTGTCAGCACAAACTCCACTGGACTATTCCAAGAAAACTGCTAAATTTTGGGTAAAAAAGGAGCTTAATGTCAAAAATAATCAAAAAAAATGCGAAGAGAATTCAGATTATTTCAATCTTTAACTCCTTTTCTTCCACAAGGGATATCAAAAAACACAAATTTGAAATCAAAATTTTATTTATGAAAAATGGGTTGCGATACAAGGATGGAAAGAATGAATGTAGAGAATGTTTTTAAGTGTTTAACGAACTTGAAACGACTACTACTTATAATGAGATTTCAACCAAGAAATTTCTCAGATAAATTTTATGCTACCTTTCATGACCAATGATTAATCAAAAAAAATAATATTCTGACTTTTCAATTTTCTCATGCCAATTTGCCGTGTAGAATGTAATATTATTGTAATAAAATATTTATTTGATTTATTGCACGTGCAACGGCCACATACTGTAATTATTTTTTAGTAATTTGCTAAAGGATAAAATTATAACTTATAACTTAGTTATTAGTATTTATAATTTATTTTGACCCGATGACCCTGTCAAAAGCCACTGGGTTGTACATTTTAAATTTATTTATGCCATAATCTTAGGGCTTGTTCGGCAATAATTATGAGAATTAATTTTTTTACTGTTAGAGAGAAAAGTGGGTCCCATCCATAAATGAAGAAGTCAAATATGACGGCTGAAATAATGAAATAACTATCAAAAAGTTGATTTTTTGTAATGAAAAAATGCTGCCAAACATACACTTACGTATTAACTAAGCTTTGATTAAAATAAATTTAAGTCCCCATTTGATTTAAATAAAAATTAGAATTTTTTGTAAATTTTGATAAAAGTTGATGAAATTTATAGTTGATAAGTTGTGAATTTTATGAAATGAGTAATTATAATTAATTATTGACTTTAACAAAAATTTAAATTTAAATTTTAAGCTGAAAAAAAGGGCTAATTACCTAATTGTTACATAATAATATTTAATGTCACTTAAAATTAGAATTAAGTTTGTTAACATAAAATTTTGTTAAATAGAACTTGATAGGCCAATTTAACTTTAAAAAAATCCCTAAATAATCTGAAATTTAATTCAAATATAAGATTAAAAAAATAGAAACAGTTAAAATAACCCTCAAGACTGGCCATTTATTTTCCATAAAATTATAACTCAAGATATTAATTAAATTAAATAACAATATTTCATTTAAAAAAAACGATTAATCAATAAATTAATATATTCGAATCCTATCTACAAAGAATCTAGATTGTATATATAAAATTTGGTTGACTGTCAAAATATAATTCAACTTGCATATTCGGCCACGTTCAAACTATAAAGAAAAAATATTCATAGCCTCCAGCTTTGAATTACATATTCCATATGTTTGTTCATTATATTGGGATGGTAGGACAGTGATTGGGAAGGTTCCAAATAATAATATAAATTTTACAGCTAATAGTATTTAAGATTGGTCTCTGCATTATTGATAGATTAATAATATATTGAACCCATAAAAAATTGTCCAAATAATTTTTTTAATATTATGTATGTATCATGTTTGATACTATAAATTAAAAGGAAATAAAAATAATTAAGATAACAATATGTGAAAAAATTGTAAATTACTTTATCTGGTCATGTAGTTTGGCATTTAGAGTCCGTTTGATAACAAAGGTGGAAAAGACAAATCAATTCCATATAAGTTGGAAAAGAAAAAAAATCACCAAAATCATAAGAATTCGATCTTTATGAAATTGGCCAAAAACATGTTTTAAGTGTTTGTACATTGAAATTCGAACTTCATTTCTACTTTCGTATCAAACAGCCGAGCTAAAAAATGTATTCCTCGAATGTGACATTTTTCGTAGAATACGGCGCTATCAAACGGACCGTAGTGTCATTGATGTTTACTTTATGAATTGACACTGGTTACAAAATATATTTCCAAGAAAAATATTTTTAAGATATTCTTACTAGAAAGGACCTTTGTAAATTAATTTTTTATAATGGGAAGTTGTACCAAAGCAAGGAAATAACAAAATATCTTTTTCTAGTAAGATTTTTGTGCAAGAAAAAATAAAGGTTTATTCAAATAATTAATATCAATTCAGGGACATATCTCAACAAAAGAAAATTTTAAAAGATTAATAAAAAAAAAAAAAAAAAAAAAAAGTAAATTTGACCTGGTGAAGTCACATTGTTCCCACAACTGGTCAAATATAGTTGAAAGTCAATTAATGGAATGTTGAAATTGTAGTCAAATTAAGTGTGCGTTATGCCATTCTAGAAAACTAAACAAAAAATACGAAGATGATAGACTCAAATTTATTCCTCCTCCGTCATATGTGAGGGCTGATCTATAAAATTTGGAGTTTGTTTTGTAAAAATAAAAAAATAAAAAATAAAAAAAATGATAGACTCACATTTATTTTAATTCGGAAGATCGGAGGAAGAGAGAAAGAGACAAGATGTGATAGGGACCAAGAAAGGCGGAGAGGGTGGTGGCGCCGATAGTGGGGCGACTCGCTTTGTGGAGAGACAAAATTTATTTTTAATATCGAAAATATTTTGATAATCATGTATGTATATTGATATCGAGTTACTATGTCTTTTTCTATCTTCTACTTCATGCAGAGATGGATTTGGGGGTGGCGGGGCTAGGCTGGGTTGTAGCCCCCCACCCCCTGTCAAGTCCAAGAACATTTTTTAAGGTATTTTTTATTTTTAATTTTTTGGGTAAAAAAGCAATTTTTTACGTGTAAATTATTTTTTTCCGTGTAGTAACCCGATTTGAAATTTTGTAGTCCGATCTTAAATTCAATCCTGGATCAGTCCCTGACTTCATTTGTGCGTACAATATTTGCTTCTTATCTTTGCTACATTCTTTGTCTTAGTCGTGTATAATATTACATTATGCAGGCCGCGCTGAAATTCTAGTTGTCAACAACTAGTTCAATTTGGATTTAATCGCACAGTATTGAGGTTCTAAGCAAACTCAGGGCTTAAAGTCTTGTTTTTTGTGATTTGGAAGATTTTTCTCTCTAGAGATCAAGCAAGTCTTTTATTTTATAGAATATTTAGAGTTTATTAAATTCTTTTCGTTGAGTTAGGGATTTATCGTGATTCTAGTAAGTTTTGCAGTAGGTTTCTAATTAGTTGTATAAATAAGACGTTCTAAATTCTCAGTATTTCTTTCTAATCCATGAATGTAACTGGTTGAATAGGGTTTTTTTTTTTTTTTTTGCTGAAAACTTAATTTTCTGCCTCAAAATGTCCATATCATAAATCTATATACATTATTTAGTCCATAGATATATCGTATAATCCACAAATTTTTTCCCAAAGTGCAAACACCAAACATGAATAACAAACAACCGATTTTTCCTTTTTGTTCATGATACGTTGTTCGAAAAAAAAAATTTTGACCCCACAGTTTGAACTGTCTGGGTCCGCCGCCTGCTCACATGGTATATTGCATGTTTCAAGCTTCGTGTATTGTAAAGATTTGGGGTTTCATCTTAAAATGTCAATTTTGTTAAGAGCAGTAGTCCACGACCTTATAAGTTGGTCTATATTTATATCTTTATTTGATGTTGGCTATTTTATCCCTTAACATGCCCCAATAAGATGGTGGCTCGTTTGAACAGATCAATCTTAAAATTCGTGTGCCATTTGTAGAGTCTTAATCGGATTGAATTGCCCATCAGAGTTTAATGGGCTCTAATACCATGTAAAGATTTGAAATTTCATCTTAAAATATTAACCTTATTAAGAAGAGTAGTCCAAAACCTTATAAGTTAGTCTATATTTTACATCTTTATTTGATGTGGGATATTTTTATCCCTTAACATGTATTTTCAAGATTAGATGATAAATACCAATTTAGACGATTTTCATTTGTTTCTAATTTATATACAATGTAAATACATTTCTCTGAATATGTTCACTGGCACAGTGGCTAGTGGCAGTATTTTCCATGAAAGCGGTCAAGGATTTAAGGATCGGTTGTCAGTTTGTTTCGCAAATCTTTCGATCAGATCATCCCATCGAGTCCATATTTAGTAACCATGACGTTGAGACGTGAGGGTTTTTTTTTTTTTTTTTTTTTTTGATATCCAGCTATCCCAGCTTACACTATATTAAATCCTGGACCCTCAAGATCCTTACCCCTAGAACCTTAGAGGGGGTAAATCGCGGGTTATACCTCAATTGGATCATAAGTTCCCCCTACCGCCTGTACACTTCTGCGCACAAGAGATCCTTCTACAAAATGATTGCTCCACACCAAATAAATCTGGCCGCAGGTTCCCATCAGGATTCGAACCTCCACCCTGCCGCTGGAAGCAAGACAATGTTGATTGATCCATCAGTTGAGCTGTGCCCCGAGGGGCATTGTTTTGCCTTTCTTGTTATTGAAATAGATGGGATAAATTGTGTTTCCGACGTAAAGTTGTGGATTTAACAAAAATATTTGAATAAAAATCAATCATGAGGACAGGTTGTACACATACTGTAAAATGTTTGTCATGAATCATGATGCCAACGCTAAAATCATAATTAGATTACGAAATTTATCATTACAATGACGTGTCTCCACATTAACAACAATTAAAATCGATTTATTATAAAAGAAATCACAAAATCTAAATCAATCTTGATTTTCTTAAGTACATCATCAGCAAGATGTAGAGTTTTTAAACTCTATTAAAGAATTTGAAAAACCATGTGAAGATCTTATCTCCTGTAACACGCCCCGACCAATCTAGGTATGTAGAAATTCTACATGAGAACAAGGCAGTGCTTCTGTGAGTGCATCAGCTAACTAATGTATGTAACTGAAAGAGAAACATTTTCAAAAACGATAATCAATGAAAAATGCTTCATGTGAAAATGAAAAACTCGATTTGCACGCTTCCACACTATCACGGCGAATAATTGATGGCTGTAGAAGCAAGTGGCCAAGTTCAGTGAGTAGTGATTGCATCCATCATAGTTCAGAAACAGTTGGGGCAACAATGAGGTATTCGGCTTCTGAGGAAGAACGGATAATATAGTACATGTTTGGTAGCAATTTTTCATCCCAAAAAATTATTTTTTTAACCGTTATTTCACTATTCAAATCATTATTTTTTTTTACTTCTTCTCTGATATGTAAGATCCACTTTTTTCTCCAACGATCAAAAAATAAATCTCAAAACCACTACCGAACAAGCCCATACTTTGGGTTACGAAAAGACCAAGAAATAGCATTCCCAAGATAAATAACGCATGATAGTATATGTTCTATTGTCACAACTCACGATTTGCAGCCCAAACCTGAGATTAATTGGCAGAATCAGTACAACTAGAGGGTTGGGTCATGAATACCTCTTTAAGAAATTGAGTCTCAATGAAAGGCACTGTTTACGCCAAGTTAACAAACTGGCCAACCCTGAGAAGAGCTGCAATGAACAAGGTTAATTGATGTTGGCTTGATGACGGGATCAAAAGATTCATAATCGTCTTCAAAAGGGCATTCATGAAAGCTCTTGACTACAAGATGGGCTTTGTAGCATTCTATGGTGCCATCAACATATCCTTAAATATGAAACCTACTTGCAACCAACCACATTGTGACACAGTGAGGGAGGGACCATATCCCAAGTGTTGGCATGAACTGTATTTTACATATAATTAGAATGATTATGGGAATATTTAGTTACCTTAATTGTTGTGAATCCCTTAAATTTTGGAGGTAGAAAGCTTTCCCAATCAGTTCACAGCTTTCTTGTATATATGATGGATTCCTAGTATAATGGAATATATAGAAATCATTCAAAAAAATTCTCTGTGTTTTTTCATGGTATCAGAACGGAGAACTTGATGTTGCAGAACTTGAACAGCATGATGAGAACTCTATGGCTGAGAACTCAACGGTTGCTATCCTCGAAAACTTAACAACTAAAATGACGCAAGTTTTGACCCAAAACCTGACCCAGACTCCAGCCACAACCTATGAGGCTGCCGCATAAATCAGTATTAAACTTGATGGTACCAATTTTGCTCTATGGCACCGAGTTGTTGAGATGTATGTATCGTGCAGGGACAAATTAGGCTACATAAATGGTGACCTCCCACAACCTGAACCATCATATTCAACCTTTAGAAGATGAAGAACAGAAAATGCCATTGTAAAAGGATGGCTCATAAATTCTATGGACCCATCCTTAATAAGTAATTTTATGCATTATCCAACTGCCAAACAGGTATAGGAGGCAATTGCTCCAACTTATTTTGATGGAATTGACACATCTCAGGTATATGAATTGAAGAGACGTGTGACTCGAATGAAACAAGCTGGGGGTCCATTTAATCATTCTACAACAGTCTTCAAGGTTTGTGGAGGGAGATCGATTTTCGCCATCCAAATCCATTGGAGTATGCTGGTGATATAAAGAAATATAACTCTCTTACAAGAAGATAGAGTTTATATATTTCTTGATGGATTGGACGACAGACTAGACAAGATTTGGAGTGATGTACTTCTGCTACAACCATTCCTATCGTTGAACAAGCTTATGCACATGTTCGAAGGGAAAATAACGGACAAAGCAGTAATGTTGACAGGTACAGAGATTACTACAACGGCTGTTATGGCATCTAAAGGAATAAAAATGGGATCTCAACAACCTACTTCACTCCAGGTGACAAAATTTGGTCCTAGTGGTGAAAAATCGAATGCATTGACAAATGCTAAAGAACAAACTGAAGGTGGCTGCTCTCATTGCGGAAATAAGGAACATACTTGTGAAACATGCTTCAAGTTAAAGGAGTATCCAGAATGGTGGAAAGAGCTTAAGGCACAAAGACAGAGAAGTGNGGAACATACTTGTGAAACATGCTTCAAGTTAAAGGAGTATCCAGAATGGTGGAAAGAGCTTAAGGCACAAAGACAGAGAAGTGGCTAGCAGATCATTGCTAGCAGATCAAGACGTGCAGCCTTGGCAAATGCAGAACCCCAACTATCTCTTATGTCGCAAGTTGAATCTCCAAATGAGTTAACAACTAATCTCATTGACAAAGGTAACAGGAGTTCTGCCTTACTTGTCTCTAACCAAGATGATTGTAATGGTTGAATAGTGGATTCACGGGCAACGGACCACATTACATTTTGTCCAAGTGACTTTATCAAGACTACAAAGCTAAGGCGAACTAGCATCGTCAATGCTACTGGGGTTACCTATCCGGTTAGTGGGTTGGAACAGTAGCCTTATCACAGTCAATTTCTTTGTCCAATACTTTATTAGTACCATCTCTTTCAAATAAGTTAATGTCAGTCAAGCCACTGAAGAATTAAATTGTGTAGCCCTAATGTATCCTACTTTTTCCTCTTTCAGGATATTCTAACCAAAGAGATCATTGGGCGTGATACTAAGGGAGGGGGTTTATACTACATGGATGACTTCAGTTCCGGCAGAGTCAATAATATACAACATTCGATCGTTACTAAGGAAAAACAGATTTGGCTGTGGCATCGCCGTTTGGGACACCCATCGTTCGATTACATGAAATACTTATTTCCTCAGTTATTTTCAAATTTAAATCACTTAGACTTTAAATGTGACACTTGCATTTTAGCCAAAAGTCATCGTGCACCTTTTCCAATTAATTCGAATAAATGTGATATTCCATTTAATTTGATTCATTCCGATGTTTGGGGACCTTCTCCCTTTACAACTGTCTTGGGTATTCATTGCTTTGTGACCTTTGTCGATGATTGTACTCGAATGACTTGGCTCTATCTATTAAAACTTAATGATGAGGTATTTGACACTTTTTGTGCATTTCATGCTAAGATTAAAAATCAATTCTCAGGAAAAGTTCAAATTCTTAGATCCGATAATGGAGGGGAGTATGTCAACCAGAACTTTCAGACCTAATTTCAACAAAATGGCCTCATTCACGAAACCTCTTGTGCTCAAACTCCACAGCAAAATGGCTTGGCTGAACGAAAGAACAGACACATTTTAGAAACAGCACGTGCCTTGTTAATTGGAACTAAGGTTCCTGTTCGACATTGGGATGATGCAGTTGTTACTGCCGTATACCTACTAAATCGAATGCCTTCAAAGGTACTACAATTTAAGACTCCGTTACAGATCTTATCTAACCATGTTACTTTTTCATCCATTTTGCTTATTCCGCCACACATATTTGGATGTGTTGCATTTGTTCATCTCCTTAAAAATCAACGAGGAAAACTCGATCCTTGTGTTGTTCGTTGCATCTTTCAAGGGTATGCCATAAATAAAAAGGGCTATCATTGCTACAACCCTACCACTAAACGTACCTATGTCATGATGGATTTCACTTTCTTGGAATCTGAAAATTACTACTTATCTCCCATATCCACTTCTCCTCTTCAAGGGGAGACATGGGATAAAGAACAAAAAGTGTATGAAGAACGGAAGTGGTGGGATTGCCCAAGATTGGAGAAAGTTCAAGAACCTGAATTAGGTGAGGAAATAAGGAAGGCAAATGATACAGTAGTAGTTGAGGAAAATACGGAAGATAGTGGAGAAAGTGGAGAAGGAAGCAAAGATGACAATACTGACATTGTTGAGCAAAATGATCCTACTAAAATAACCCCTCCTCTTGGTGTACACGACAATGCTTCTCTTGAGAATATCCACGAGGTAAGATGTCTTGCACTATCTTCTAGTCATGCTTTGGATACTCTTACTCGTTATCACTTACCTTTTAGGCATAATAAGGGTAAGCCCCCAGTTCAGTACTTACCAAATGCGGAAGTAAAAAGATCAAAGTATCCAATCACTAATCATGTAACCACTAAGGGGCTATTGGATCCTCTTAAAGCCTGTGTACACAAACTGTCCTCTTGCCATGTTCCTTATGGAGTGCATGAAGCCCTAGCAAATCTGAAATGGTCTCAAGCGATTCAGGAAGAAATGGAGGCACTACAAAAGAACAACACATGGGACCTAGTTTCACTGCCAAAAGGAAAGAAATCAGTAGGGAGTAAATGGGTGTTTTCCATTAAGTACAAGGCAGATGGGTCTATTAAAAGATATAAAGCTAAACTTGTAGCCAAGGGGTATACACAAACCTATGGCATAGACTATCAGGAGACATTCTCACCGGTAGGAAAATTGAACACTATTAGAGTTTTGCTATCTTTGGCCACAAACTTAGATTGGCCATTACACCAATGACGTAAAGAATGCTTTCCTTCATGGAGATCTCGATTAGGAGGTATATATGGATATTCCACCAGGCTGCACTATATCACCAAACATTGGAGTTGTGTGTAAGTTGCAACGAGCATCATATGGACTAAAACAGTCACCTCGAGCATGGTTTAGAGGTTTTAGCCTAGCTATGAGAAAGTATGGTTTTCAACAAAGTAACTTTGATCATACTCTTTTCTTGAAACATCAACAAGGAAAAGTCACTACTTTAATAATCTACGTGGATGACATGATTATTACAAGAGATGACAAAAAAGAAATCTCCAAATTTTAGGAGCAGTTAGGTACCAAATCTGAGATGAAGAACTTAGGAGGACTAAAGTACTTTTTGGGAATAGAAGTTGCAAGATCAAGTCAAGGTATATTTCTTTCCCATAGAAAGTATGTGCTAGACTTACTCTCAGAAGTGGGAATGATCGATTGCAAGTCAGCTGATACACCAATTGTCCAGAACCACAAACTCGAAGAATATCGAGATCAGGTGCCAACAAACAAGGAGAGATATCAAAGATTAGTGGGTAAGCTAATATATTTACCTCATACTCGTTCAAATATTGCTTACGCTATTAGCTTAGTAAGTCAATACATGCACAATCCTAGTGAATAACATATGAGTGCAGTGATTTGAATACTTTGCTACTTAAAATCTTCCCCAGGTAGAGGAATCATGTTCTCTAAGAATAACCATCTCAATATTGAAGGTTATACAGACGCACATTGGGCAGGGACTATGTCTGATATAAAGTTCACTTATGGATACTTCACTTTTGTTGGTGGAAATTTGGTTACATGGAGGAGCAAATAGTAGAAAGTGGTGGCATTGTCTAGTACTGAAGCAAAGTTTAGAGGATTGTCTAAGGGACTTTGTGAGCTTCTTTGGCTTAAGAGGCTATTAATCGAGATTGGCTTTGCACTAAACACTGAAATGAATTTGTTTTGTGATAACAAGGCAGCAATTCAGATTTCTCAAAATCCGGTCCAACATGATCATTCCAAGCACATCAACGTGGATAGACACTTTATTAAACAGAATCTTGAAGAAAAGATTATCAGATTTCCTTTTATCAAGTCAAAAGACCAACTC